GGCCAGATCTGGCCTGCAGACCTTGAGTTTGATACTTCTGGTCTACTTGTTTAATTCAACTTGGCAAATATACATTCATCAGTTAATGAAACACATTGAGATCTAGCTATATATGATAGGTGTGCATAATCAGCAATTCTTCAAACATAGTTCTTCAAACAATAATTCTGATTTGAATTATTTGAATGGGAAGGCACATCTTTATAAGAAATCACTTCCATTTTTCAGTTAAATCAATGCATCAGAAATAATGCAACTAGTCTGATTTAGTAAAAAAAAAAATCCAATCATCTGCCCTCAGTTTATGTTGTTTAATTGGATATTTTTATTCTGGAAGGTGCAAAACACATTCTTTTAAAGTGACCTATAACAAAAAGCAAGAAGAAATAACACATTTTTAAAAATTGAGATCCTTTACAATCTTGTACCAGTATTCTCCCATTTTGTTATGGATGGCAAATATATCACTATTTGAATCTTTAACTTTTGAGAAAAATAGTGTTGGAGTTAATTGCAATCAGAAAGTTTTTACCATTTTAACAGAAACATACAGTATATTTTTGATACTCTGTGCAGAAATAAATATGGAATAAATTATAATACTTATCTTTTATAACTTTTTTTTAGGAGAGGATGATGGTAAGTTTTTGTGACGTAATATTCTTTCACTGTATTATTTAAGATTCTGGAAAAAATCATAATAAATGGGAAATCGCCCAGGATCACAACTTTACAATATCACCATACTGTACCTAGTGAATAAATTTCAGTGAGAGATATAAAGTAGGAAAGAGAAAGAAAAAAAGTTTAACAAAAAATATTGGTTATATTGGAACACAAATGTTATCTAGGATTACTATTCCTTTTCTCATGATTAATAGATGATGCTAATAATTAGTGATATCATAAACAATTGCCATTAATACTATAATTCTATAGGGATCATTATTAAATTTGTGAGGTCCAGCAAACTAGATTAGAATGATGATTGGTTTTCTGATGTTCTGTTACATTCCAGGAATCTTTATATAAATTCTGTTACTATGACTTGTTTTGAAATAAGCATAAATCAGATTTAAAACACATGAAGCCTTTTTTCAACTTGAGAAATAAATATTTAAGAATGTTAAACGAGAAGCAATGAAGTGATACATCAAGATTCAGTTTTATCACAAATTTTTAGGTGAAAGGGCTAGATAGCTTTGATATGTATTTTGGCATATGCTGTGAATTTAGATTTTAAAGGATTCATTGATTAGAATGTCTAGGCCTTGTTTGAAATTAATTATTTCTGTATTCACAGGAGAATCGTTTTATACATGGCTAGAAGGTAAATTCAGTATCATATAAAAATTCTAATGAAAAACAGCAAACTCTCTGTGTAATAAGAAAGTCCTATGAAATTTAAAGATTAAGGAATGCATTTCTATTCAAGGAAAAAAAATGTAACAATAAACCTGTTAGCTAAAAAAAACTTGTTAATTTGCAAGACTTGACCATTTTTACTAAATGTTTTCAATGATGAAATTAATGTGTACTATTCTTTACAATCGTCCTTTAAATGTTTTGCACAGCGCTATGCAAAACATTTAAAATACATGCCTTGCAAATCATGTTAATTGAAGTAAGTCTTAAAGCAACCATGGCAAGCCATTGCAGTTCTTTTGAAGGCAGTTTCCAGTTCTCTGCATGTATCTGCCAGGATAGCATTTGAAATAATGCTTTAAAGTTTCAGCTTTTAAATGTTTTGCATAGCGCTGTGCAAAACATTTAAAA